CAATCTATCTAAATAAGATATTCTTTTCCTCATATCTCTAGGAAGTTTCTTCTGGGAAATAAATAGTCATGGAGAAAGAACGGCTCAACAGGTACCTGGTTCTCCCTTTTCTCCCTTAGCATCATCATGTCCATCTTTGCCCGGGAAACCATTCAATCCTGGAGAACCACAGGCAATCACAGGGCAGGTGGTTCAGATATCCTCATTGGGTACAGTTTCTGAATGAGATGTCGACATACTCAGGAGAAGAAGAAGAAGTGATGAAAACAGAGACATGGTCCTCACCTTGGTGTGGGAAAAACCAAGACAGATCATGCTATCTGGTTCAGTTAACTAACACAGAGTTTCCCGAAATGCCCTCTTTCCTATAATGGTCATAGACAATGTAGAAATGGTTGAACCATTTATAGCCTCTAGACAAATTACTTGGACAAGTAAATAATCCTCGTGTCATTATGCGATCAGCATTTTAACAAAAACAGGCTTGATAAATGTACGAGTCACATTTGTGAGGTGGTCACCAGTGCCCAGGCCTCTGGTGTGGTGACTGGAAGATTGTGAATATGCTCCCTGTGACAGGGCAAAAGGACTCCGTAGTTCCAGCTTACTTGTGCCTGCTGGCCTGGAATGTAGGAATGGATTGAGACGTAGGTGTTTGCAAGAGCTCCCTGTCTCTCTCCTCCTTCCCTTTGGGTGCAATTGCAACCTTAAATCCCATTTTTATATCTATCTAAGGCCAGTTAACTTATTTACTCAATACAGGCACTGATGAGCTGGTTATCTAGAGAGTCAGTTGGGGCTTAATCTCAGATATTCAGTTGGGTCTTAATCTCAGATCAAGTCATGTACTAGTTAGTCACTAGCTGAGGCCAGAATGAATTTGAGTGTAGTTTGTGATGCTTTCCTCCCAATGTTCAGCAGGGTGGACAGAGAGCATTTTCTCCAGAAATTTCAATGTATTGGCCCAGCAGAGTGTTAGATCCCTCTGTACCTCCTGGCTGGTATTCTCTGTACTTTGTGGATGAAAGTTATTGGCAGTTAGATGACCTTCCTCCCATCCCTCCCCCATTTCTCAACCTTAGCATTTTACCTGCACTTCAAAGCTGTCTTCCAACACTTCCTAGGGAACTTCACCAGGCACACTCATGGGTCTAATGCTACATGCCTCTGTTTAAAAACAAAGTCAGTGATCTTCGCATTTATGTAATTAAGGTACACCCCAGCATAAGCAGAGAAAAGACAGTTTCTACATGATTTCTGTAAGCTTCGAGAATCTCAATCCAAAACCTCAGACATTTACCAGAAATGACTTAAATTACTTACTTATGGGGCTTCTATACAGCAGCGGCTCTGTGACAAGGAAGCTGAGCCTCCAGCCCGGGACTCTGGCCAATGTCACAAAGTGAAGGAGGAGTCAGAATTTGGCAATCAACTGTGGGCATCTAGCATCTAGTGCCAGCCTTCATCCCAGGTTAATAAACAACTATCAAGGTATCAAGCAAGTCTTTGGTTGTGGTATTAGAGGTTCAACCAGGGCCTTCACAGTGAGTTACATCCCCAGCTCTCTTTTTCATTTTTTATTTTGATACAGTCTAACTTCCCAAGCTAGACTAGAATTTGCAATTCTCCTGACTCAGCCTCCTGGAATGCTGGGATCACAGGTGTGTACCATGACTCCTGGCTAACGA